GTTAATCAACGTGATAAATAATTAATGATATTTTAAACTAGAAAAGGACGAGAACCTAACAGCGGAAAGCCCGCCAACAGCAGCAACGTGATTGTTTAATTAAACTGAAAGTTGTCTCTGTAATTTTTCCTCGCTTTGAAAATTTTTCTTGGCGTATAACTAGCTCAAAGTCCTTTATCAGAACCTGTCTCGCTTCTCCATTTTATTGTATTGTTATCATGTAGCACTGAGTTAATCGTAGTTTGTTTCACTGTCATTCTAAACCCTACACTGTCAAGGGTTAGCCCGAACAAGGAATTTTCGCAGACAAAATTTCTTTTAAAAATACTACACGCATTCTTATTTACCGTTGTTTCAAAATGTTCTTTTAAATCAAAAAATTATAGCAGTTACAAAACTCTGTTATTTGAAATGTGAGGAAGTACTCAGGAGACAACAGAAAAATCGACCTCAAAACCAAAAAATAGTGAACCCATTCTGCAAACTCAGCGAGAAATTTTCCCGAGCTTGACTGAACGAGATCTGTTGAATCAAGTGGAAAAGACAATGCCATATGGAAATGATATGACAATATGACTGCATCATCAAAACAACGTTGTTCCTCGATTATTCCAAATATCTATCAACAGAAGAACCAGTTCATGATTTTGGTTGTGCGTCTGTGGACTAATGATCCACTTGGTTAGTTTGAAGRTCACTTCAGAAGCTTGAGTTGCTCTCGGCTGAGCCTCGAGCAACTCCTCAAGCTCTTCAATTCCATAACTCGATAGACCAACTTCTTTTAACATGTAGGGCTGTATAGTCTTGAACGCAAGGTTACTGTGCTCTTCAAGTTGGACAGTCGCAAAGAGTTTTTGCATTCGGTATCATCCAAGATTCACACACATTTTCATACGCTAAACGACCTAAAGATGGAATTTTAAGGCATTTTGGCAGACCATCAGCGTACATATTTAAGGTGAACCTCAGAATTAACCTGCCAAATGCCTTAATGCATCTCAAACCCTCGGTTCGCGAATAATTATTTCGAGAAAGGTTTCAGGCCGTTCGAAAGGAAAAATGTTTTATCAGGCATAGTCATATACATTTCATTTCCACGCCAGTATCCTCGTACTCTACTGCTCTTCTTGTATTCTATTGAGTAATGAAGAATCTAGGCGGTTAATATAATCGACAAAACAAAAGGAGAATTCCAGGCATGGTGGATTAAAATTCTGTCCAAGATTTTAGATTGTGTTTTTTTCTTTTCACCTTATTAAAAAAAAAGGACTTTTCATTGCCATGAATGTCCGTCATGAATTCGGAATCTGTTAGTTTTTTTAAAGAACAACTTCGAAAATAACGAAAGAAAATTAGCAAAATCTAAGTAATATATAAAAAAGCAAACATTTTACACTTTGTATTTGTCCTATTTATCGGAGTTGGCCCACCCGACATGAAATAAAAACCACCACTAACTCCAACACCTTTTCCAATCTTTCCCAATCCATTTATGAAAGGTATGTGGCTTAATCTTTGTGGTCGCACGTTCTCAGACAACATAGTGCTATATGTCAAAGAACGAAAAAAAATATCTGTAATGCTTGCACATAAACCTGACCAATACTTAGACTATATCTGAGAAAATATCATATAACTAATAGGCTACAGCTGAATTGCTCAAATGTTATTTAAAACGTGAGCGTTAAAACCGAACTCATTTTGAACAAATTTTCACGATGCCTTCTGCAAAGAGGAAAATTCATAATTTTCAAGTGTAATGTCTGAATTCTTAGGCAACAATGGGAACACTACCTCTGGAAACACGATGACTTTTTCATCAAAAAAATATTAGAATTATATAATACCTAATGTTAAAAATGTGCAAATTAAAAATAATTTACCAGAAGGCTTTGTCCAGTCTATGTGCAAACTTCCCTTTCTGTGAGGATCAAAGAAGACAACACACAGTTTGTTTAATCAAAATACGCACGGGCCAACGTGATTAATGATTAATGATATTTTACTTGTTGAACCTAAGAAGGAAGAGAGCCTAACGGTAGCAATCCTCTTTAGCAGCATAGTGATCGACTAAAGAAATTTAGCTCTTGTTCGTTTTAAAATTTTTTTGCTTACAAATTGGTTCAAGAACTAAACAGAACTTAGTGTTTTACACCTTGTCCCCGCGCCTTTCTCAAGTCTGGGCTTAACTGTATTTTTGTGAAGCTATAGCTGGTTTTCACATGACGTCACTAAAATTCGAACTACAAAACTATTGATCTTCCTTATATTTTACTTAAATGATGTATAAGGGCAGCTGAAAACTAATATTCATACAAATTTTCGCTCCGAATGGGTTCTTGGTTTTGTGATAGACTACGCTTGAATTTCTAAGCTTTTGCGTGACGCGGCATTTACATGACGGCCTAGAGAGCTGTCATGATGGTTGAAAAAGTGACTTATTTCGGGGAACTTGGCTATCTGAACAGTTCATGTCTTAGAAAAATTATTATTTTAATGTTTTAGAGTTCCTCGAGGGATAAATTCGCGCTTTTGTAGCAAAACTCAGTGACAGATGTTTCTGTTGATTTCCGGCCGCCATGTTGGTGCCCATACGGATGGGCACCAACATGGCTTCTCCATACAAATCTCTTTAAATCTGGGTAAAAATTTCTCCGCATATCTCGCGTAAGAAAAATTGCTGTGACCAGAATTTTGGCGAGAGTCTTTGCATATTTACCTTCTTTCATTTTCCAGATTCTGGACTTTATCTGTTGACCGGCTTTGATTTTTATTTTGATCTATTTTGAATTGTGTGACACTGAAAACCAGCAATTATTTACTCACTGCTGTTTTAAACTGTCGAACCGTCAAATTAACCCAGCCAAACAATATTCTAAAATTCTATTATTATAAACTGTCAAAGATTAGACTAAACAAGACAATTCTCTCAAACGTAATTTCTAAAATGTTCAGTGTTTTAAACATCAATTTTCGTTTTCAAACTTATCGCAGGCTTTGAATGTTAATTGCCTCAAAAAATTAGTCTTTGTTAAAGTCAAGGCAATACATGAATGTTGTGTGTCAGCAATGTGTAGAAAGGGCCTGTGAGATAATAAGGGAGCCATTATCTCCCCAAGAACGTAAGACTGTCACTCCAAACTTCATTCAGTTATTCACGCTGAAGCAGAAGAAGATGGAATAAACTTCCGAGGAAAATAAAAGAGAACTTGGCTTGAACTAACTGCTCTTCATGTAGTTGAAGATGTGTTATTATTTACAGCTTTCTTTCGCGAATAAAAGCATTTCATCTGATCATGCTATCCGGTATGTTTTCTCCGGCATTTCTTTAACACTGATGTTTGCCAGTTCAACTGTCGTACCTAATAACCGTTATCAGACAATAAATAACAAGGACACAGAANAAGAGGAAAATCCATTATTTTCAAGCATTAAGTCTGAATACTTAGGCAACAATCAATTAATATGAAATAGTATCACTGGAAACATTATATATAACTCTGAATCGAAGATAATAAAGATTACTTTTTTCACCAAAACATTTTACAGTCATGCAATACATGGAAGGGCTTACCAGAAGGGTTTGTCTTGCTTTTGCAAACTCTTGCTTTTGCAAACTGCGACTTCCTCTTGTGGTAAACAATGAAAAGTAAGCCAGGACTAGTACGAAACTTTTACATATGCTATATATTAAAACTTCAACCATACATTTCGTATAGCAGAAAAAAGAGTATTTGATAATGTAGGCTCATTTTACCTGTTTTGTTTTGTTTTTTTT